CCAAAAAAACAACCCCCAAGGAATTATGACCTTCAATCATATTCATTGTCTGCATCCATAATTGACTTTCTCTCCTTGTCACACACAACAGATCTCCCTCCTAACTATTTTTGGGCCTGGGTTTTAGGCCTATGCAAATATAGTTGTAAGGCCTTCTTTCTTGGCTCAGTCTCAGCAACCTGAACCGTGTTTGTATTGATTATTCTATCAATTATCCAATTACAACAATTTCTCTTTTTTGTTTTTTGAATCCCTTTTTAAGGGGGAGAAGCGATGCAATATCTTCTACATTTTGTTTACCAATGCCTGTTGATCCAAGTGGTAAGAAACTTGGTTCTCTTTAGTAAAGTCTTGTGAATGAAAAATTAGGCACTAGGATAACTTTGCTTCCCTAAGGTTTCACTGATAGTCGGGATTTAAATTGACTTCTGGATATCAAGGGTTTCAGTCTCAAGCCAAAAAGATATTCCATATTTTGTTTTTGGTTTATTTTAGATGGATTTATAGTCACTGATGTACTAATCTGGAGTGTGGACACGATAAATTTGTTGAGCTGATTAAAAGTAGGCTATATGGTTAATTTTTGACAAAATATTTCTTAGAGAAGTATAAAGGCTTTACTCAAATCAAAAGCTGAACGATAAAATATAAAAATTATGCTAATTGTAAGTCTTGGATTAGATGCAATTATGAATGATCTTAAATGTTAATTAAGAAAAAAGAGCAGCTTCTGTAACAATTTTATTTTTTAATTTTTATCCAGCCATTGCTGGGGTAGCAGCATATAATAATAGCAAGTTGAAAAAAGAAGCCACTCGAGACACCGCAGATGATTCAGACCATGAATCTGTCCAAAGCGAACAGTCTCAGCCTTTAACCAGTAGATAATTGCAGTGAGTTACTGAAGGTATATAAATAATTTATTTGAAATATTGTTCTTTTTCCCACTTCCCACAATTTTGCTTCTTCTTAGAGTTTTTCTTTGTATCTCTTCCAGTTGTCCATGCCTTATTCAGAAGTTGATGAGACCATATAGTAGTTTTCATTCACTTTTCACATAATGTAGCAAGAGGGCATCAAATGTTCACGTGTAGTAGATAAAGGTATAAGCAAGCATTTTGTTACAATCTTGTAAACAGTTTCAGCTAAATTTAGATCGGGGAAAGCAATGTGCTGATCCAATGTAGTACATGGAGATGTAAAATACAAATTTTATCCTTTGAAAAAGAGGTGCTTGGCCATGGCATTTGATTTTTGAGGAATTTGAAGTCATTCACATTTCACAATGATTATTTGTTTGAAGCAATTACCAATTTCAATCTTAGCGATTCACTATTTCCGAGATGAGTGATCAAAGAGTAAAAGCCCCTGCACCTATTATTTATCATAATTGTACAATGGGCCGATAACCAGGGGTGTATAGTGCAGTTTGTTAGACAGATGAAAACTTGTTGAAATAATTTGTTTATTTAAAATGTATTAATAATATTCAATATTCTGATACAGATTGTTTCAGTGTTGCGAATCTTTGCTCCTATGTATTTTTGTTTTATGTGGATGCTTTTTGTTTTATGTGGATGCTTTTATGTATTTCGTGAATTTATCTCGTTGGTTCTCACGAGTCCATTAGAGATTTAGGAAGACAAATAATGTATTTTGCTCAAATACAAGGTATATATCGTGTATTTGAAGTATATCTGTATTTTGGTGCTACTGTTTGACATTTTCGGCATATATATTTTCTGATTATAACTTTGTGATAAGTTGATAACATGTTAGTGTCGCCATATATTGAAGTATATTATTGGGTAGGCAATCATACTATTTTCAATTAGTGGGTCCTCTCTGTCCTTGGGGTTAGGATACTCGAACATTTTGTGAGTAATGTTTAAAATATCTTTATTTATATTTTTGAATTTAAAATTATAAAAGTAAAAAAATAAATTAATTTTTAAAATCTTTTTTTTTTTTTTTTTGGAACAAACAGACTCTTGCTGCAGATAATGTGCTTATTCCTATAATTCTGGCTGTTTACCAACTCTACATTGGTTTAAGTGAAATCGATCTTAATTTTTTTAGAAAAAGTTTTATATTCGATTTTTTCTTACGAAAAAACATGGTTGATTGAGAGATGAGATTTCACTAACACCGAATTTAAATGAAATACAGAGAAAGTAAGTACGAAAGGAATGAAGACAACATAAATAAATAATAGAAATGTAAAAGTTGCTTAGTTGAAAATAATTAATGTAGAAATATCAATAATTGAATATAACCTTATGTTATAATATAATTTTTTTACTATAAATATAAATATGATCTATATCTTCAAAAATATTTATTTATTATGATTTTTAATTATAATATAATTTAAATATTTTAATTAATTAATTATTATAAATTATAACTATATTTATCTTAATTTCACATGCTAAAATTCGTTATGACTGTTATACGAAATAGAGAATTGTAACAGTTTAGTGGAAAATTTATGCGATTTACTAGCTAGCATCCATTGGCTAATATTTTCAGCGTTGTGAAATTGAAATTGAGGCAGAAAAGGAAAATGAAGCAAGCACAAAAACACTATCTCCAAGAAATTTCAAATTACAAAACTCTTAAAATAAAAAAAATTCAATCTACCCATTTGTTCACTCCGAAAATATATATATTTTTCTTTATCTTTGTTAATATTCTTGATTTCCTCTATTTGAATTTTCATTCAATCTTCACATACTTAACACGTCCTAATTACTAGTAATTACTTAGTTGTAATATGTGGGCCTCATAAGGTGAGACATATATATATAAGCTTTATGTTTGTTTGGTAGAGCACAAATACATAACGACCAATGCCACAATCACTTCACTGTCATCAAAATCAGAGGCACACCCTGACACAGAAATTAAAGTAACGATCAAGGAAAAAGAAAACACAACAATGCTTGCCCAAGATCCACATCACTGACTTTTTAAGGCCACAGAAACACAGTACTATTACTATAGGTTGGTTATCTAGTGATGAGAGGTGTGTGACCCTTCTTTTGGGGCACTTGTACTGGTAGAGTGTCACTGACATGGTGAGATAAACCAACCCAAGTTTTCCTAAAAAAGATTATTTCAACCAAATTAATGAATTTCAAATTTCATTATTGAAGGAGAATGTTTAAAAGTAGTTTTGTCATCTTTGTTTTATTACATTGAAGGAGAATGGTTTTTAAATTACTTTTGTCAAAAAAAAATTGTTTTAATTTATATAGAGAGAAGATAGAGGATAAAGCATCTATTATTCTATTTAATTTGTTGATTCTCCTGTTAGCCAAGTTGGGTTTTGAGAAGAAACTTATTCCTAACAAAGTGATAGATCAAGAATTAAATTCCTAGTTATTGAATTATTAAAAAAGATGTTACTTGATGGAAAAAAGAAGAGGGAAAGCTTGTTACTAATTGTTCCTGTGTTAAGATACACACTTCACTTATCCTTGTTGTAGCGGGTCTGATCCTAGGTCTCGGTCTTCTCGTTCCTATCCGAGTAGTCTGATGTGAGGGGGTGTGCAGACACTCCAACGCTCAAGTAAGTGCTCGGCGTAATAAATGTGGTAGTTGAAAGTTAGTTACATACCTCGAAAGTGGTCTATTTATAGTGTTTTTTATTGGGCCGTGATTAGGAGCTGGGCCCCGAAAAATTAGGAGGCTAATCTGGCTTATTCCTTAAATTAATCCTTTCGTAATCATACTGGTGGAGTCCCGTGGGTCGGTCGAGCAAACCGACCCCTTCTATTTGACGAGTGTTCGGTGTGTTCGGGTATTGATTTCGGTCTCTGTTGGATTCGGATATTCGGTCGGGTCGGTCTCGATCCCATACAGTATACTAATTATAGTAGGTAATATTATAAATTTTTCATTAAAGTTTGTTTCCTACAACCAATCCAAAACTTTTGTTAGATTTATCCAACTAACGAAATCTTGTATTCAGACAAATTTTGCTCACAAAAGGTTTATATAGTAGAAAATATAGATACCCATTGCAATAATCTCATATACATATAAAAAAAATTGAATTATATTTGTAAAATATTATGACATATAAAGATTAAATACATAAATATATAGTTATTAAATAATGAAAAAATCTGACATAAAAATAATGATTTTTTTTTGTATATAAAAGAAACTCTCCACTAAAATCACAATAAATTACCCTGAAATAAATAAATAATTAATTAATTTGGAGAAAACTAAAGATAAAGAAGGTCGGAATAATTATCAAGAATTTTCCGATTCATTCATTTCTTGTCCGTTACTACTAGAAGTAGTAGAAGCTCCAAGTTCTCACTCTCAAACACTATTTTTCCCCTCTCAGCGGGTAACTAAGAAGTTAGAAGGCGCTAGAAAAAAATAAAAGAGAGAGAGAGAGAGCAAGAAGCGAAGAAGAGAGGGAAAGAAAAGCTGAGCCGAGGCGCGAGCGAGCGAGCGAGACATGCGATTGCGGTGGCGGCGCCGATCGACGGCCAATGCAGCGGGTCGTTGCGGCGGTGGTCTCGGGCGGCGTTGATGGCCCTGCAGATGACTTGGCAGCCGAGTCTCCTGAGTCAGAAGCGCAAAACCGGTCCTCCCTTAGGGCTCCGTAACCTAGGCAACTCGTGCTACCTCAACAGCGTCCTCCAGTGCCTCACCTACACTCCTCCTCTCGCCAATTTCTGCCTCCGCCTCCACCACTCCTCTCTCTGTACGTAACACCTCTCTCTCTCTCTCGTTCGCTCTCTGATTTCAATCGATTCCTCTTCCGTTCCGTAACCTAACGCGCTTCTTTCCTTCTTCCGATTCAGGTGACTCTTCCGCGTCTTCCTGTCCGTTCTGCATACTCGAGAAGCAGATTGCGCGTTCTCTGCGCTTGGATCTCCCGCACGACGCGCCGTCCAAGATCCAGGCCTCTCTGCGGATCTTCGGCCCGCACTTCCGCTGCGGCCGCCAGGAGGACGCGCACGAGTTCCTCCGCTACGTCATCGACGCCTGCCACAACACCTGCCTCCGCATCAAGAAGCTCCACCGCAAAGGCGGCGGCGGAGGCGGTGGAGGAGGAGGTGGAGGAAGAGGAGATGTTAACGCTGGCGGCGGCGGCGGCGGCAGCACCGTGGTGAAGGAGATTTTCGGCGGCGCCTTGCAGAGCCAGGTGAAGTGTCTGTGTTGTGGATACGAGTCGAATAAGGTTGATGAGATAATGGATATTAGTCTTGATGTTTTCCATAGTAACTCGCTTAGAGACTCCATGCAAAAGTTCTTTCAGCCTGAGGTTTTAGATGGCAACAATAAGTACAAGTGTGATAGGTGAGTTATTCAGTCTGTGTATTTGTCCGGTTTGTTAGGGACTGTTTGTACTGTTGGCCAATCAGAATTGGAATTTTATCTCGATAATTTTGCGGAATCCTTTAATGTAAGTCTTTATTAAAATGATTATGGAGATGAAACTTCGGTTTTGATTGGAAAACAGCATAAACAACGGCTATGGAAATGTATCTATGTTTTGTCTTATTTGTTTTGAGTGTGTTTGTGTGCGTTTTAATTATTGAAAGGATGAAACTGTTGGTGACTGTTGTTTAGTTGTAAGAAATTGGTGGCGGCGAAGAAGCAGATGTCTATACTTCAAGCGCCTAACATCCTTGTGATACAACTGAAGGTTTGTTATGTCCGTTTTTTTTTTTTTTTTGGTTGTTTGGATTAGTGATAGCTTGGGATTTTTGAATGATGGTGTGCCGGTGCAATTTGGATTGTAGAGATTTGAGGGCATATTGGGTGGCAAGATTGACAAGGCTGTTGCATTTGAAGAGGTTTTGGTGCTTTCTAGCTTCATGTGCAAAGCAAGCCAGGTATGTATGGTTTTTGTTTTGAAATAGTTACTGTAACGGAGTGTTTGTATTTTTCACGTGGAGGCACACACTAACATGAATTAGGAAGCACCTCAAAGTAATAACTGTTTCTTTGTTATAATACTCCTAAAATACTCCTAACTGTAATTTGTATTTTTTTACTTTACACTAATACTGTAATACAGATGGAAATATCAGAACAGTTAGGTACATAATATGATTTATTACATGTCTCATGCTCACCTAAAACATTTATTTTTTCCATTTCATTTAATTCTAGGTTTTATGGTGATTTTATGCTAATTTTGACATTTTGTACATTGTATTATAGTTGAGTTGTATTTATAATTTTAAAACTTTACTGCATCCTCGTGTCTAAGTCTTTGTCATACCAAAATTTGTATCTTCACTTAATCAGAATGACCAAAAAAATCAGGGGATAAAGTCTCAATTGAAGTCTTCCAATTATTTGATGTTTTTTTATGCTACTTTTGTTTCGTTGAGCACACATGATAAATCTTACTATTTCCTGTCTCGTGTATCCATGACTACTTTTCTTATTATTCATTAAGAAAGAAGAGAGAATCAAAGAAAGTAGGACAATATACTCTCCACAAAAAAAAATTACAACAAAACCAAAAAATGGAACTTGAGATTTGAAATGCACATTAATTGGCACTTGGCAGCCCACTGTTGTCATTTTTATATTTACACATAATGGCTGGCTTGTAAAGAAGCTTTTCAAATGAGATGTTATGCCCTCTTTGTTTAGGCACTTGGCAAACTCATGCATACATTGTGGTAATATTTAATTGCAAAAGGGGTGGCTAGTTTAGAGCTCCAAACTTTCTGGGGAAACTTCATAGAGACTAAAATACTATTTATCGATGAGCCACTTGCAATAAAAAACATAAATTGCTTGGTGGAGGTCAATAAAGGTTCAGTATTCCAACCTAGGATGACATTTTGTAAGAATGTTGTGGTGTAACAGGGACAATATTGTCCAAGTCCTCCCCCCCCCCCCCCAAAAGGATATTTTTAGCTTCCTTTCTAACAGTTATCTTGATGTAGGATCCCCAACCAGAATATAAGCTCTTTGGCACTATTGTGCATTCAGGCTACTCCCCCGAATCTGGTCACTACTATGCTTATATAAAGGTTAGTTAAGTTTTAGTTTATCTATATGCAAATTATGTAGCCAATACATTGATTCCTAAATAACCCCTAATTGTGCCTAGAACCTAACTTCTTATTCTGTTTACAGGATGCAATGGGTCGGTGGTATTGCTGTGATGATTCTTGTGTAACAGTTGCAACCCTGCAAGAAGTTTTGTCAGAAAAGGTTTACATTCTTTTTTTCTCTCGAACTAACCAAAGGCCAGTGTCAAGTAGTAATGCTCTTGCTTCAAACGGTGTAAAGCCTCATTCCAATGGGAGCCAAGCATCTGAATGCCCAAAGGTTGGTGTACCACTGAAAGCAGAGCATGAAAAATCAAATTCTGAGCTATCTCCTTGGAAGGACATGCCAAGTGTGTCTAAGACAACTAAAGCACCGTCCAGTCCACGAGTGAAGTTTGACATTAATGGAAGTTCTACTTCCAAAAGAAATCCTGCTCCTGTAAGTGTCAATGGGAAAGTTGATGTTTCTAGGAGTCAACCTTTAGTAATAAATGGGCATGTGAAAGATTCGGTTTCTTTGGAGAATGGTAAGAAAGATCCTTCATCATTACTCACTAGGAATGGCATTGACAAATTGAAAAGAAAGGAGCCAGCATTTACAAATGGACACACTGATAATCAGACTGTTGATATTCATTCTGTAAAGTCAGATCCCAGGGAAAATACTGATAGAAGCAGGGTAGTAGCAAGTAGAGGGCCTGACAACTTTAAGCAAGAAAGCAATGGCCTCAATAGCAATCCTAAAATACTGGGGAATAAGAGAAAGGTACAGGAGGCCCCATGCATTTTGCTTGCACATGATAGTGAGTCTCAAGCAAGAGTTCAAGAATTGAAGGACATGTAAGATATACTGAAATTCAATCTTTTTATCTTAGAGATTATAGCTAAAGATTTTTTTTCTCGCAATGATGCCTTGCTATGCTTTTATGTTTTATGATATACATTGAAATTTAGCATCTTATATTTTTGTTGGTGTTTCATAGCCTGGATAGAGGCTTCAGTAGTTGGGTTTAGACTGTTGTAGTTAGTTAATGCTTGACATTTTTTTCATGAAACCTTACTTTGTATAGGCTTTGTTATTTGTAGTTGTTACTTGTTATTGTTTGGATAACCTAATTGGTGGGGAGAGGAATACTATTAGAATTTGGGCTTAGGGCCTTACCTCAATCTCACAAAATTAACTTGTAAGGTAAGGATTGTCCAAACTTTATAAGCACTACTATAGCCTTATCTTTAGTCGATGTTAGATTATATCATCCCCTTACACCTATCACAATGAAGGTGCATGAAGCCTCAAATTAAGTTAGGCCAAGGGTGTTTGCAATTAAGGTGACTTGACACATCTCTTTACACCCCGACTATTGGCATGGAGCGTGCAGGTGGCCCAATAATGGATCTAGAATAAATTCTGATATTGTATTAGAATTTAGGTTTAGAGCCCAACTTAGTCCCATAAAACTTTGTAAGATGAGGATTGTCAAAACTTTATAAGCACTAAGCCTTATCTCAAGTTGATGTTGGACTATATCTACCCCTTCACACCTATCACAATAAAGGTGTAGGAGACTACAAATTAAGGCGAGAAAATGGTGTCCCCAATTAAGGAGACTTAACAAATACAAACATTTGGTACATTTCTTTTGGTATGCAAGTCATGTAAAATTCCAATTTGAAGGAAATATTGTGCAATAAATAATGTTAATGGATGTTCCACAATAATTTTTTCTTAATTTCATAATTTATCTTCCTCCTCTATCTTAAATATCCCAAATGCCTTCCAAAAATATGTTGATCTTGTTAAATTTTTTCAGGACATTAATCTTCCTGATTTATACTGTACTGAAATCTTCCTGATGTATACTGTACTCACCAACATTCATTTACCTATTGCCTTTGACAATCAGTTGCACAGCTTTACATTCTAAAATACTTTTTATATTTCTTATTCAGATACTGTTTTCTTTCTATAATAATGGTTATATGCCTGGTTCTGATACTATGTTTTCAAAACATTACTCAGCCTTGGAAAAGAGGCAAAGTCAGTTTTGAAGTCATGTGGCTGGACAGATATGGTCTGTGAAAGAATGCGTTCTAGAAAGAAGAAGTTACGTGAACAAGAAGCTGGAAATTTTACAAATGCAGATGAAACAAGGTAAGGGTGATCATATTCTATGTTGTTTTATACATTGAGTCATTGATATTACATACAAACATGGCTGTTGCGCAATTTTTATAAATCATACACTGTTTTTAACTATTACATTACTTTTTAATTACACAAGAGATTCATTTCCAAGTGTGGTTATAGATTCCAGGCGAAAGGAGGTAGGTTTCTAAAATCAAGCTTATTATGATTAAGCTTTGTAAAAGTATGATTGACCACCAAGCAAGGTTATCAATAAGGTTATACGGCGGATGGCGGCAAATTCTTCATAGTTTTGTCTTATAGTCAGTGACGGATCCAGAAATTTTATATAGTGGGAGCAATATTTATTTATATATTTGTAGTATTAAAAATTTTATATATAATTTTTAAAGACATAAATATATATCATAATTATTTTTTACAAG